ATGGCCCTTAAACATGAAAAGTTCAGCTTCACTCAATAAGAAATTCACATTAAAACTACATTGAGATGCAATTTCTCACCCAACAGACTGACAAAAATTCAAAATGAGTATACACTCAGCAAAGCTGTGGGAAACACACTCTCCTCCATTGGTGGTGGAAATGCAAAATGGTACAGCCCTACAAAGAGGAATTTTGTAGTATACAGCAAAATTCCATGGGCATCTACTCTTCACCTCAGCAAACACACTTCTAGGAATTTACCTGAAAGATACGCTTCAAAAGTATGAAACTACATGTGCATAAGTTGATTCATTATAGCATTATTTGTAATTTCAAAATATTGGAAACCAAATGCCCAAGCATAGAAGATTCGTTGGATAAATTGTGGTACACAAGTACTATGCATCTGTAAAAAAAAAAAAGGGGGGGGATTGTCTCTATGAACTATTATGAAATGGTTTTCGGGAAATGGTAAGTGAAAAGTAAAATGCAGGGCCAGCCCAGTGGCGCACTGGTTAACAGTTGGCTTGGGACGCCAGCTCTGAGCAGCAGGGCCATGGTTCGGATCCCACATGAGGGCCAGTGATGCTGCATCCTCTACAGCTAAGATGCTGAACAACAGCTCCACCTGGAACTGGCCTGCCATGAGTCGCCAGCAATGGCATAGGCTGCAGTAGAGCTGCAGTGGGCTCCGGTAAGCTACCGTGAGCGGCCAGCAGCCAACCTGAGCTGCCAAGAGCCGCTGTGAGCAGCCGTCCAGAGGCTGGCAACTGATCTGCCTCACCCGGGAAGAGCACAATGATAATACCAACATGGGCCAGTGAAGCAATGTCCTCCACAGCTAGACTGAAAAACAAAAGGACAGCAACTTGTCTGTTCCCCTTCCCTGATTCCCCAACGCTGTTCCCCTCCCCCAAGTCCCCAATAAAATCTTTAAAAAAAAAAAAAAAAGTAAAATGCAAAAGTTCATGCTACCTTTTGTGTAAGGGAAAAAAGCAAAGTAAAAACATACAACTATCTGCTTCACAAAAGGAAACATTGGAAGGATAAACCAGAAAATAGTGAAGTTGGTTACCTATAACAGGAGGAGGAATGGAGTAGAGTGGAAGGGATGGGGGGGCAGGGGGGGCGGGGAGAATGACGCTTCTCTGAGTATATTTTTACTTTTAAGAGCATATTAATATGCTACATATTTTTTTTAAACTAAGAATTGGGTGGGAGATAAAACTAAAAATCAAACTGAAATGAATTTAACTGTAGTATTTCAATGGAATACCATAACCATCCTGGAAAGGTGAGTGGAGGAGAGGATTAAGAAGAATTAATTGAAGTAACTTATGAACACAGTATTTGACTACATACCCTCAGTCTTGAACAGGGTAGGGTGTGTATTGGGGCGGTGATGGGGGATAAAAGTGCAAACAAATCCTGAATTCTAGTAGGTTTGCTTATTCTAGTGGTATGAATGAAGCAATGGGAAAGTAAGGTATATTACAGGATTGAATAAATGATTCAGTATGTTAATATCATTGGGGATCAGAGATCTCACTGTGGAAGAAGGTACATTATAAATATGGAAAAAGGAAACAAGCAAGCAAGAAACAGCTCTGTGGGGATTAATTGCAATTGAAATTGTTTTGAGCTCATGATTTCTAAAACGTATATGTATACATAGATTATGTATATGTTATGTGTATAGACATATACCTAACATGCATTATGTACACATGTATTTATATATTATATGTATATTTGTGGATATGTATGTGTACTTATGTATATATATGCATGCATTTTCAACCCTGTCCACTGAAAGGACCAAGAAGCAAAGACATCCAAATAGCAATGAGCATACTCAGAGCCAAAATCTTGGGCTGAGAGAGGGAAAGCACACATTTTATTATACCAAAAAGTAAGGAAGCGCTTAAAAAAAAAAAAGATGGAGATGTGTCACAAGACACAGGAGCCAACTTGAAAGGGATCCCACTGGCCAAACCTGAGACATTTGATCACCAAATAAGTACAATAATAAATTATAAGCCATTGGAGAAAAATAGGAATTCATGAGCTTGTACTAATAATAAATGAATGAAGCAAGAAGGAGGGAAGAAAGGGTGTTCAGGCTGCTGTAACAAAATTACCACAGGCTGGATGGTACAACATTCTCATGGTTCTGAAGGCTGTGAAGTCCAAGATGAAGGTGCCAGCAGTTTTAGTGTCTGATGAGAGCCTGCTTCCTGGTTCGTAGACGTTGGTCTTCTAGTTCTGTCCTCACATGGCGGAAGGAGGAAGGGAGCTCTCTGGGGCCTTTTTTTATAAAGGCATCAATCCCATTCATGAGGGCTCCACCCTCATGACCTAAGCACTTCCCAAGCGCCTACCGCCTAATACCATCATATTGGGGGGTGAGGATTTTAGCATGAATTTGGGGAGGATATAAACATTCAGTTCATTGCATTCTTCCTCTGGCCCCCCAAAATTCATATTCCATCCCAACAGCCCAAAAGTCTTCCCTCATTCCCATAGCAACTCAAAAGTCTGAAGTCCAAAGTCTCATCTAGTACATATTACCTAAATCAGATATGGATGAGACTTGCAGTGTGACTCATCCTGAGGCAAACTCCTCTCCAGTTGGGAACCTGTGGAACCAAACAAGTTATGTGCTTCAAAATACAGTGGTGGGACAGGCATAGAATAGATATGCTCATCCTAAATGGGAAAATAGGGAAAAAAGGGAAAGAAAGCCCCAACGTAAATGCAAAATCTAACGGCATATTTCATTAGACCTTACAACTTGAGAATAATCCTCTTTGGCTCCATGCTCTGCCTTCCGGACCCACTGTCACTCCCATGGCCAAAAGCTGACTGGTAAACCTGGAGAGAGTGCTGGACTCATTCTGTAACCATGATAGCAAAGGTTGATACAGGCAAGAATCATCAATAGATGCTAAATCTAGGGGGAAATTTTGACGAGAAGCACTGTATTTACAAGGTGTTTTTTTAAATATATATATATTATACACACACACACACACACACACACACACACACACACACTAATTGGGGAACAGCGTATTTTTCCAGGATCCATCAGCTCCAAGTCAAGTAGTTGTTTCAATCCAGTTGTGGAGGATGCATCTCAGTGGCCCATGTGGGAATTGAACCAGCAACCCTGGCATTATGAGCACTGTGCTCTAACCAACTGAGCTAACCGGCCACCCCTACATGGTTTTAAATTGTCTGCACCGATTATTAATTGCAAAGGTGAAAAAAGAATTAGCAGTGGAGAAATTGGACAACACTTCAACTAGAGAGTCAAAATTACATCATCAATTAAGGACAGATGGATACTGTGTGCCTCCAGATGTAACATCCTAAAAGAGACACATCGCCTGTACAGTATTCCAGCCAAGAATGCATAACCTTGATTTACACAAAGGAAGCATTGAACAAATACGAAGTAAAGACTATTCTATTTTTAAAAACAAAGCAGAGGGCCGGCTGAGTGGCGCGATGGTTAAGAACTGGTTTGGGATGCCAGAAGGCCCAGGTTCAGATCCCACATATGAGGGCCAATGACACTGCCCTCCACAGCTAAGATGCTGAACAACAGCTCAACCTGGAGCTGGGCTGCGGAGAGTCGCCAGTGACGGNATCAGGAGCCTAATTTAAATTACAAATGCTTAGGATTTTATAGTTGAAGCTCACAACTTAATGAAAAATGTAGTGCTACTGTTTATTTTTAGGTTTACAAGAAGTTAGGTCAGACGCACCTCGCCCTGATGAATTTCTCTTGGGCTATGGATTTAGATCCTAAAGGAGCCAATAACCAGATTAAAGAGGCAATTGATAAGCGCTACCTTCCAGATGATGAGGAGCCAATAACCCAAGAAGAACAGATCAGTGAGTATCAGCCATAATACTCTGGTTACTCAAACCAGAGAACTAGCGAAACACCACATGAGAGTTAAGATGGACCAGATGTGTTTTTAATTTTATTTTTTTAACCATGGTATATTCTTTATACCAAATGGAATTTTAAGGAAATTTAACAGCATGATATAATAACGAAGTACATATGGAATCAGTTAACTAGCCTCAGTTCTGGTTCAAGTTTGTTGTGTGGCTTTGACAAATTCATTGCTGATTTTTACCTGGGCCTCAGTGTATGTTTGAATATGTAACTAATGCTTGCCTTATCTTTTTTGTAGGAATGTAGTGGGGGGAAGAAAGATGATAGATGTGATAGTATGTTGAAAACACAAGTGCTAAGTGAATGAATAATAAGTTTGTGCACATTTTAAGGTATTGACAGATCTTGTAGTAGTGACTTTTCAAATTCTGTGTGGCTCTGGCAAATCCAAAATCCAAATACATGGCTAATATATATATAAACTAAGGGGTTAAGAAAAGAGGAGGAAACAAAGAGTTATAGTTTAAGGCAGTGAGGACTCTGTCCCTAAATTGAGTGTATATCTTAAAATAACTAGTGAGAACGAAAACTTAATGTATCAATATTTTTTAATAAGAGAATTGAATAACTTCTGATGAGATAAAATGAGATGACTTTGTCCCAGAAAACTAAGTGAAGGGCTTTAACTAAAATTATAATACATATAGTTGCAATAATTTTTAAACTGAAGGTTATTATATTCTATATTTCTGTGGACTAGCAGAGATTATCTCCAAAATGGAGGGAATGTCAGTCTTCTTAATGCCTCAGAAAACATTCTAATTCCTAGGATAGGAATAAGGAATTCATTGGGGAGAGGCAGTTTTAGTAGTTAAAACTCTTAAAAATTAAATGCAATAAACTGATCTCAGATATTGCTGTAAAATAAGGAACTTGAATTGCACTATATTGAAGGATATCAGGATTTTTAAGGACCTTTAAGATCTCATTTCCCTGAGTATAATTTTCATTATTTGTTTTCATGAACCCATGAGAATTATTTGTCAGACACCTTACTGTAGACTTTCTGTTTTGTTTTTGTTAAAGTGGGAACAGATGAATCCCAGGAGAGCAGCATGACAGATGCGGACGATACACAACTTCACGCAGCTGAAAGTGATGAATTTTAACTTCTGGAAATCAGACTTTTACAACTGGATGTGTGGCTAGTGCTGACATGTTTCTTGTCCCTCCATATACTGAGTCTTCACTCTTGAGCCACAGTGTCGTCATCCATCACTTATACCATGAGTGTGCCACTTTCATTGGACCCTGGCTGTACACAGAATGAAAGGCAGTGCAATATTTAGCTGCTAACAAGACTGGCTCTTTCACCAGTATGAATGACAATTTAGGGGGATAGGGTGGGGAACTTTCTTTTCTTTTTTTCTTTAATCTCCCTTTGTTGGAAAGCTATCATGGATGGAAGAGTTATGTTTGATCTTGAAGGAACCATTAGCTATGGAAAATAGTGATGAACCAGAATTTCTTGGTCATTTTCCCCAAAATTTGTTTTTATTTGGTTCTGTTCCTGATAAACAGAGTGACTGACCTTCATTTCTAGGTTCTTCAAGAATGGTGTTAGCAAGTGCCAGATGGAACAATAAAAGACATTGCCTATAACAGAATAACTTGATTGCCAAGGAATGTAAATTACCTTAAACTTGCAGTGTCTCCCATAAGCAAATGTAATGGGCATACTGGGACTCGTATGTGGGAATTAAATATCCCTCCATACAGTGTACACTTATTCTTGGCAAGAATTCTAACCAAGAATTTTAATTTATTCATCTTGCTTCAAAGTGTTGATCATTGTTGTCTTGATATTGCAAACTTTAAAGTTGGTCCTTGCCATATTGCCTCTTCTTTAAGCTCTGTGGGATCACCTTTAACATTCAGAGATGATAAAGTGGTCACCCACTGAAAAGCGAAAAGTCCCTTAATAACCATTTAAGTTCACCGTAAGAATCAAAATGAGAACACTAGAGAGACTTTAAGAGATCATGATAGTGAAAGCCTTAATACAATCAGAATTGTACCATAACCTTGAATCTATGTTTGTTCAAGACAGTATCCCTTTGACGTTTCTAAGTGTTTAAGCAGGGTGCAAGAATGTGTGGTCTCCTTTGGTTGAGGTCATTTCCATTCTTTTCAGCTCTCTCTGCTTCAGATTATTTTCAGTTAATGTAAGTCACCAAAACATTTACTGAGAGTGATTGACTTTAGGATATTGGAATTTTTGAGCTGCAAAAAAAAAAAAAAAAAAGTTGTTCTTATGAAGGAGATGAGTTCTTTCCTGAGTTTGTCATAACATAAGTTGGTGTCTTTGGGGAATGGCCACAATTTTAAAGACCTAATTATGCATAATAAAATGGAAATTATTGGAATTTCACAGTAACAGATTTAAAGTCTTAAATTGTGTATTGTTTATTGTAAAGTATTGACATTTTTAGAGAAACTTTAGTTAACATTTTATTAAGTGCCAATGTCAGAATGTAACAAATTATAGTTTCTTATGAATGACAGGCCTACAGTTATTATTTTGGATTTTTTGATGAAGGACAAACTTATCTACTGGTTACCTGTATTAGTCAAGCTGTGAAAATGAGGTGGATGACAGAAGATGTGAAAAAAAATTTAGCCTATAGATGCACTAATTTTCTTACTTATAGTAGTAATAGTAGTAAGTAGTAATCACTTACTACTATAATTTTATAATTTACTACTAATCTGCTCATTTAAATTTGGATTAGATACCATTATAAATTAATTCAAATCAGAGTCCTAGATTAGGTATTGGGTGCCAGAGACATATTTAACAAAATTTCCTACCTAAATATATGTATATGTGCTGCCTAAAAAAAATAATTTATAAGAAAAAGGAAAAGTTGGGAGTAAATGAATATCATTAAAAATTCCCAAAGGCTAGCACTTGGATTCTAACAAATATTCCATTTTATTATCCATTAGTTCTGTAATATTTAATTTTATATTCTTTTATTTTTTTTAATTGGCAAATCATAAGCCAGCTGTATAACAGTATCAAAGAGTTTCATAGAAAGCTTCAACCTGAGCTCTATNAAAATATAGAAAACAGTTTCTGCCCTCAAGGAGCTTACAGTCCATTTAAAATGTTTAATTTATTTTTTTGAATAAATGTTTTAAAATTATTTTTTGACATGGTTCAAAAGTTTAAAAAGAGGAAGATTCTCCTCACACTTCACCTTCCAGCTATTTGTTTCCCCTCCTTAGAAGGAACCAGTGTTATTTCGTGTGCATCCTTCCAGAAACATGGTTTAAGTGTGTACAAGTCCATATGTAAAGGCATTTTTTTCTTTCATTCCTTACACAAACGAAAACATGTCACAAACATTGTTTGATTCCGTTTTTGTTTTTTCACTTAATATATTCCAGAGGTCACTCTCTAGTAGTACATGTAGGTAGGACTTCCTCTTTCTTTTTTATGGCTGGATATTTGACAATAGCAACACAGGAATAATGATAATGACATTAAATACTTACATAGTAGCTAAATACCATTCTAAGAATCTTACTTATATTAGCTTTTTTTTTTTTTTTTTAGAAATTTTATTGGGGAACAGTGTGTTTTTCCAGGACCCATCAGCTCCAAGTCAAGTAGTTGTCTTCAATCTACTTGTAGAGGGTGCAACTCCATGGCCCATGTGGGAACCGAACCGGCAACCTCGGTGTTATGAGCCTGTGCTCTAATCACCTGAGCTAAGCGGCTGCCCATTATATTAGCTTATTTACTCCTCTCAACAATACTATTAAATAAGTATGATTATTATTCCCATGTTGTGGAGATGGAAACTGAGGCACTGGGTGTTTAAATAACTTGCCCAATGTCACAAAATTAGCAAGTAATGGACAGGACCAGCTACTTAATTTGTGGGGTCCAGTAAAAAATGAAAGTGTGAGCCTCTTGTTCAAAAATCAGGGGGGACAGTGCTATTCAAGACACTAAAATAGAAAGATTTTCCTTCCTTTCATGGTCTCTGTCTTGATTTGTCATGGTGTGTTTTATTTGTTATTTAATGTCATCTAAGTAAAGGAAAATTCTAAGTTTAAATCATCAGCAGGAATTTTACCATCCTCATCTTGTGCAATGCCAGTTTTAAGGAGCATTTAATTCATATTTTGAATTGCTGAAATTATACAATTTGTATTTTGTTGCTTGTATCATCAGCACATGTATTTTGTTCTTATCAGAACAGTGGGAACTCTGGATGAACCAACTCAAATGTTTTTATTTCACTTCTTGATATGTGCATATTCTACTCCACTTTCAGCTTACTGATGAGTAAAGGGGGGCTGAAAGGAAAAGGAACTCTGGGTTGCCTTTTCCTCCTGTCATCATTTTCAGCATCAGTGATTGGCTAATACAGAGAGGTAACATGAGTAAGATATGATACGGTTCCTTGGTCTTTCATGTTTCTTAGAATGCATTTCCTTCTTTCTTGGTTGGAAGCAAGTTCTAGTTCAAATGGAACACACATACCTTGTGCTCACTTTGTACCTTGCTGAGCTCCCACACATCACAGGTCCACCAAAATTCTATGCTCATGGGGCATCACAAATGCTTTATGTACATGGGGTGATGAGGAACGGTGACACGTAATTGTGCTTATCTCCTCTGCTTGCTCAGGCGTTTGCTTCTGTGCCCCATTGGACTTCATGTACAAAACCCAAATTCAAGAGTAAAATTATTAAGAATTTCAAGATGGCAACAGCTGAATGTGGGGCCCTTTTGAGTGTGGGACCCTGTGTGACCACACAGGTCATATGCCCATGAAGTCAACCCTAGTGACAGTGCAGGAGTCAAATCATAATTGACTTAACCAGTCTGCTAATGAAGTGTATTTAAGTTTTATTTTCTTCATCTTTTTCTATTACAAACAATGTTTGTTAAAAAACAAACAAACCCTGAATATACAGATTATCTTAAAATTTGGAAGTAGGGAAAATACTTATTATATTTTTGTCATTTTACTTAACGTGTTCTGATATAATCTTAACTATACTCTCTGGTTGAGATTCAAGGCTTCTTCTTCATGAGCAACTCTATGATAATCATGAAATTAACAGCCTCAGATTTCCAGACTTTTCAGAGAATATATCAGTAAGATAAATTCTGGAGCATAAAATGTTGCCTGCCACATAGTTGATGCTCAAAAAATATTTTAGGAAATGAATGAATACATTTCTAGAGATGGAATTGCTGAGTTAAAAAGGTATTTGCATTTATAATTTTGATGACTATTGCCTCATTGCCCTCTGTAGATATTGGAACAACTTATATTTTCACCAGTGATGTNGGAAGAGCGCAATGATGATGCCAACTTGGGCCAGTGAAGCAACATCCTCCACAACTAGACTGAAGAACAAAATGACAGCAACTTGTCTGTTCCCCTTCCCCCAATTTCCCAGTGCTGTTCCCATCCCCCAATTCCCCAATAAAAATCTTTTAAAATAACAAAGAAAAAAAACAAAGCAGAGCAACTTATCTGGGTGGGGCAATACACTTTCCAAGAAGGTTTATGTCATAAAAGATGTCTGTGGAAATGTTCCAAATTAAAGGAGGTTATTACATGGCAGCTAAATGCAGTTCCTGACCCTAGATGGGATCCTGTCCTGGAGGGGAAAAAAAATAAAAGACATCATTCGATCAACTGACAAATTTAGAATATGGATGGTAGATTAAAGTACTATAAACTTATGAACTGTAAATTTAAGTACTGTTATGTAAGAGAATATCCTTATTTTTAGGAAACATACAATGAAGTATAATATTTGGGGCAAGAAGACAGACCTTCAGACCCTCATGTTGAGCGGTCACTGGATGCAGGCTGTCCCAGGAAGGGAAAGTGACCTTGGATGAAGCAAATCTTTTTCATCCCTGCAAAGAGGTTTTAGATACCTTATTAAGCTAATATATCCAAAATATCATAAAACTTAATGTACTATTTTACTTTTTTTCATACTAAGTCTTTGAAATAGGGTGTGTATTTTACACTTACCACACTTTTAAATTTGGACTAACCGCATTTGAAGTGCTCAATAGCCACATATGGCTAGTGATTACCATACTCAACAGTGCAGCCAAGACAATTGTATTCTTATATGAACCAGGATGTGTCTGCCAAATGTTCATTACAGAATTTTTTGAATAGCCTAAGATTGTAAACATCCCAAATGTCCATCAACAATAAAATGATACATAAATCGTGGTATAATTCAAAGCAAAGGAATGGTATAAACTATAATTAGGCTCAAAAATATACATGAATGTTATAAACAAAAAAGTCAGAAAACAAGACAATACGTATCACTATTTGGCAACCACCATAGTAATAATTGCTTTGTGCCAGAATGATGGATGAAGGCTAAAACTAATGAGAAGTTTGATGAGAAAGGGGATATGTAGTATCTCAAAATACCTCCCCCCCAAGATATTTATTATTTTTCCCTTCGTAATTAATGACATCACCTTAACTATATGACCAAAATTAACATCAGTAATGGGACAAGTAGGTAGCATATGCTTCCTGGTAGGATGCATGGAGATGTCCCCAGCATTATTTCTGGGAATGGTATTTCTGCCCAAAATTCATAACCTAAATCTAATTATGGAGAAGTACCAGACAAACTCATACCGAGAGAGGTTGTGCATAATAAGTAGCCTGAAATCTTCAAAAGTGTCAAGGTTATGAAAGACAAAGACAGACTACAGAACTTTTCCAGATTAAAGGAGACTAAATTGACAAGTAAATGCAATGGGTGATGCTGGATTGATTTCTGGACCAGAAAGATTTTTTGAAAAATGTTCTTTTTCTATAAAGCATATTGGTAAAACAACTGGCTAATATGAATAAGGTCTGTGGATTAAATAATAGTGTCAATGTTAATTTCTTGATTTTGATAACCACACTGATATAAGAGAATAGCCTTATTTTTAGGAAATACAAATATTTAGGAGTAAAGGGGCATAATACCTGCAATTTATTCTCAAACAGTTCTGAAAAAAAGGTGTGTGTGTGTGTGTGTGTGTGTGTGTGTGTGTGTGTGTAGAGGGAGACAGAATTATAAAGCAAACTAAAATGTTAACATTTGAGGAATCTCAAT